AGCGGAAGCGACTCATAACTCGCAGAGCTTTGATAACTTGTTGACTCGGGCGCCGTCGAAAGATGATCAGGTATTGCTTTCTTATAGTTCGAGGCGCGTTGTTTAGCAGGCAGCCAACCCTGCTGCCTTCCACGTTCATTCGTGCGCACTCCTTTGAAGTTCGAATTGTGGGTTTGCTTCGGGCATTAAAACAAAGCGAGATTCACTTCCCTCTTTTCCTCTTGCGCTTTGCTCCGAGGCTTATTTTTTTATACTGCGTTTGTAGTGTAAGTCCGCCTATTACTTGGTCTTTGTTCCGATGCTTGTTTTCTGTGTTATATGTTTTAGTGGGTTGGGGTTACAAGCAACCTAGCGGATTCCCGCTCATTTCCTTTGACTTTAGTCTCTGCATGCTTCGTTTCACCTTGCGATGAACCGCTGCGGACGCTACGAGTCACCCTAGGCAATCCAGCACCGTGAGCGGGACTGCAGGGTCACGCGACACTCAGAAAGAACTGGATTGGTTTCGATGGCTCTCGTGCTGTCTGTTGAGGTCCATCGTAAGGTGAAGTAGACTATCGTCACCGCTCTTAGTGTGACCGAACTGACTAGACCTGCAGAAAGATCGTCCCGCGCCAGACGAGGCGCGACCGTTGCTGTGAAGGCAACGGAGAAGGAGAGCTGGGTTCTAGCTGCCACTGAGGTTTTGGCTTCCGCGCGTCTCGGTTGTCCGGTCTGCATTCGTGCTCCTTGTCCTGGACCCTATCTGAGGCGGTGAGAAGTCAGTTGGACATTGTTGTTGAGGAAACACGGGGAATGTCAATTCGAACGATGCGGTATTACATCGTTAATTGTATCTTGATGTGAAGAGCTTTGTCAACGCTGACTTCCCGACCCGTCGCCACAAATCGAACAACCGACACCGAGGTAGAAGAATGAATCGGTTGGTACCGTCTGCTGCCTAAACCCGCCAGACCGATCTCACCAGCTGTTTTGAGTACGCCACCGGTGCCGATATGCACCGTGGGAGCTGTAGTCTTTCTGCACGAGCGACAACCCTGCTGGAGGTTTGCACGAGCAGACCACGAGGCAGCATGGCCTGTCGCCTGATCTGGCGTCTGACTCCTACGAACTACAGTTATGGCGGCGTCACGCATGCGTGGAACGCTTGGTGGGATCGGTCTATTCGGACGAGAAGACAGGATAAATACAGATCGAGTCATGGCATCGTAAAAGACATTTTTCTACATTAGTCGCGAAGAAAATAAACAAGATGCATGCTGAAAGTTGTGCAACGAAACAATACACGGTGCAGTCGGAGTATATCATCGAACTTTATTCGCCATCTGAAGAGGAAACACGAGAATGAGTATGCGAAGGGCGGAAAAGGACAGGCGAACCAGCCAAAAATTTAATTGAATATGATAAGAAATATCGAGATTCGTAAAGCAATCCTGAACTAATGCGTTTTAAAACTGGTAAAGTGACGTGGTCTACTCGGTCCCTCGTGCTGCGCCGCAGGGGTTGCATTTTTTCAGAGGATGTGTTCTTGCCGCTGTGCATGGAGTCGCTTCCAGCAGTGTACTAGCCATGTTGCTGTATTTGAAGAATAGAGTAATATAGCTTATTCCTGCGCCACGCACGTACTGGATATCTTTCTGGTCATTTCAAACAAACACGCTGGCCGCGTATGTCTTAAAAGTCAAATGCAAAGAAGTAAAAAAAAAGAAAATGAGTGGATTTAGGTTTTGCTGTTTGTTGCAAGCCACGTGGTCGTAAGACCAATGTCTTAAACAAGCATCGACATATATCAAGGGGCTTTCTCGATGTTTGCAGTACATTGTAAATAAACACTTTCTGCCACCAGCAGTCCGCTAGTAAAAATCGGTGCTTTTTTAAAAAAAATTTAGCTTCTTCTTTTTTTTTGCAATTGTCTCTGCATTTGATAATGTCAGCTTTATGCTGCTTATGACGGCAACAAAAGGTAGCTGTCAAGTGCCAATTTTTACGTTTAGGAATTATAGGAATGCAAGGATCAATTCAGCCATTCCAGGAGTGGGATTGGGCTCAGTGTCTCCATTCCTAGGAATTGAAAGGAATTGAATTATTGAAAACTCTAATTCCCCGGAATGGAATTGGAATGAAATGGGGGTGCCCATTCCGCAACACTGGTCAACAAGCCGGGGGCGAGAGCGAGAATAGCGTTCGGGTTGCCGAGTTGCATGAGCAGTTTTGATCGTACCGCGGCAAGGAGAGCTTGGGCGATCATGGGGGCGCCTAAAATGAGAGAGCGCATCCATGATAACGTGGTTTATGGACACCATTGTGTGACTAACTTGGGCAGTGTTGCCTCGTTGCTAAATGAAAATGAAAAAAAAAATGTGTAAATTGGTTATTGCAATTATTAAAGCCATAAAAATTTCGTAATTCGGTGTGTATACTAAGTAGCCTTTGAGCATTTCATTTGAAGAATAATCTATCCGTTTACTTTTTGTGTCATAACCCTTTAAGTGTTTTTGTGTTGGAGTTTTTTTTTTCCTCCAATTGAAATCAACACTCTTTCGCAACGTCACTCTTGATGCACTTCTTTTTCGGAGACCAATAAAACGAGACTGCAGATAGTGAGGCTCCGTTTTTCACGCCCATTTGCAAGCGCAAAAATAGGCGTCCTAAAATTCAGTAAAGCATTGAGCGGTGTGCTAGCACCCCAAAACGATAAGAAAACACAGTTTCCTAAAAACAACAAAAAAAAAGCTGCCTTTTTTTTAAGGCAGTTTTTGAAGTCGTTTTAAAACAAGACCAGCTTCCCATAAGAACCAGCCATGGTGTTGCTCTGGAGTGCAAAACAGAAGAACAGGGCCCCCATATTAAAACGTTTTGCAACATTAAAAGGTAACTCCGGTCCATAGTTTTGATTTTGGGATTATGACTGTTCTGGCACAGTCAGCGTCCGTGAATTACAAGGTGTAATTTGTTTTTCGGTATTGTGCGTACTTTTAAAGATATCGACGCCTCAAAAGTTTTGTCTGGGGCGTGGTCGACAAAATCGAAACTAGCCGCTCGAGGCCCCAGCAACACTGGACATCAGTCGCTAGGTGGACTTCACGTTATCGTCGTTCTTGTTCAACGAAGTGCTTTAACGAGTATGCGGTCCAAGCAGCACCTATGTCTGTTGCGCTAGCCGTTTAAAGATAAAAGGTAAGTTGCTTTCATTTTAATTCTGTATACGTGGTAGATATCCAGCATATGTAGCAATAGTTAGTGCGACTACCCAAAATCTAGCGACTGGCAGGCGAGTGAACTCGCTCGGTGTCGATGTAGGATGCCAATCTCACTACCCCTCTGCTTCGACTACGGTAGTGGGTATGGCGTACGCCAAATTGAATACCGTAGTCGTTTATTTCGCTAAAACGGCGGAAATAACTTTCTGCGGCAAAATACCCTATTGCTTGTTGCTGTTTGTATGAGCGGTGGAACGCGCGCACGGCAGGCGTTGATTAACTTTTTGTAAAGTTAGTTAATTAATTAAGTTCCAAAAACCTAATTTGCGAAAATATGAAATAAAAGGCTTGCCGCACTCATAAGAAACATACAAAAAAACTTGTGATTGGAGCTAGTTAGTGGTTGTAATCTACATGCCCAACATTCCCCATTCAAGGGAGCGTGAATGCTCCATGTTCAACACTCCATTTGACAATGACTGCTTTATTGATCTGGAAACTTTTATCATGTTTAACTTTTGTGTAGGACATACCACTCAGTAATGAGAAGTTCGTTGCTATGTTGACTGCATGTTTTACCTTTTGTCTTCACTGTGGTTCGGCTGGAATCATCCTTTTCACTAATTTAATGCAGGACAGATATCGGCAACCCACGAATGTTGCTTTTTTTAAATCTCTGCCTCCTTACTCCATATGAGATAAAGCAAGCTTTTTATTTTGAATCCCTGCGTCAAGGTCGTGTGCCAATTTCCAAACTGGGCGGGCTTTTTTTTATTTTTTTTTTCAACAGACACGTTGTTTAGTGAAGACATCGAAGGCGACGACAGCTGGAGCCTTAACCGATGTGCACATGACCCACTGCCACAAGCTGAAGAACTTCGAAGGAAGAGTGGTTCTTCGGTGCGCGAGTGCGCACCGAGCTACTCGCTAAAATGAGCCTTGGAGTCCTCACAAGCAAATAAACAAAAGGCTATGCTGAAGCTACACGAGCTAAAGGTAAAGCAACGGCTAAACACACCAAGCACCAGCCGAAGCAGCGGCGGTAGCGTCTCAAAGAAGCACACTTTCCCCGCTCGACCACGCAACAAACAAGCCCGTCCGGACCAGGAAAAAAAAAAATATCATGACGTCACCGCCCAAGGTTGCTCTAGCGATCGGTGACCCGATGGCGGCCCCCTAAGGAGCGGCTGCTCGCAGCGGGTCGCATTTTTATTATTGGCATTAATTGAGAATACGGCGTCCCCTTGACGTAATATTTTGGCTGGGGTCGTATTCTGTGTCACTAAAGCGATACCAGTAATTTGTTTCCTTTTTTAATTTTGGCCGGAGTTGCCCTTTAGGTTCCAATTAAATTATTTTCTTTCTGCCAAGAAATGGCAACGCAGATTTGATCCACTGCCATTTGTTGACATCACACTAGAAGCCGAGAACTGGCTCAGCACGTTTTCGGAATGTTGACATCTCAGATATTTTGTTCCATCGATAATCGCTGCGCTACTTACCCTTACATTATCTGTCAGATATTCAGTTATAAGTGCAACATTTTCAAGTCCCAATCTCACCGACAGATGGGGCAGTTTGTGAGCAGCCGTTTGCCACACGCAGCTCTTTGCCTGGCCACGGCATGGAACTAGTCAGTGAAAAGTCAAGAATGAAGGGCGACAGAAATTGAGGGTTGGGAGGAGGAAGTTGGTGGAAGGCTGGAGAGAGGGGGATGCTTCCTCCTCTCCACCCTTCCTTTTTCTCCGCCTCCGTTCTTGAACTGTCATTGGCTATAGGCATACGCAAAAATTATTTCACCTGAACTTCAGCAGCATTGCCGGGAAGCACTACAGGCTCTTCCTGGGCTGGCGGTGCGGCTGGCACTTGCTCTTGTACTTCGATTTCTGGATCCGCCAAAACTGGCGGTTCCAGAAGCGGTGGTGCTGGGGCTTGTGGAGCCAGGACTGGTTGTGGCAGAACTGGTTGTGGCAGAACTGGCGGTGGCAGGGCTTTCGGTACTGGTGCTTGTTCTGCCGAAGCTAGTTGTGGGGGGACTAGTGGTGGCAGGATTGGCCGTAGTGAAACTGGCTGAGGCAGGACTAGCGGTGCCAGGGCTTGCGGTACTGGTGCTTGTGGTGCCAAAGCCAGTTGTGGGGGGACTAGGGGTGGCTGTGCCAGGTATGGTGGTACCAAGACTGATGGTGTTGGGCTGGCGGAGTCACCTGCTTGATTTGAAACTTTCAATTAGATCCCCAGTCAAACTTGTGCGCCATAAAGTATCTGTGTGAAGTCTACGATGAGAACCTTTTTATAAAGACCCCACTTACTAGTCTCAACAAATGAATCTGAGAAACAGGAAGCCTCGGGAATAATCTCTACTCCAGGCAGCACGGCTGGGCGGGCAACCAGCAGGTCTCCAAATGTATTTCCTCTTTACATTACCGAGCAAGACACACAAAAAATCGCCCCTCAGTAAGCAGGAGCTACTTGCAAACCGAGCTGATGCATGTACCGATCACCAGCCATCAGCGGACTGTAAGCCATATACAAAAAGAAACTGCTCAAAAACATTACAATGCAAACACCCCAAGTTTCATATTAATGAACCCGAGTCCATAAAAGGCACACAAATATCATTCATAAACCTTTTACAGTAACAGCTGCCTTTTGTAAGTTTTCTGGGGTTTGCAATGGGGGGGTCGTCTGCTGTCGAGCGTAACCAATGTCAACCGCGCACGCATGGGCTTTCTGCAAGGTGCACGGGAGACCTCTCTGCGAGGAGGAAAGGTTTCTGTGGTGACCCTCGCTTTGTTTGTCATCTGCCCGATTTCACCGTTCTGGGCAATTCGAGTTGAGGGCTCCAAAAGCCAGTGTGGCTCGCGACAACCGTCCAGAGGAAGCCTATTCACTGCAGACCAACAGCAAAGAGAAGACCCGTCCCGTACACACCGAAGTACCACTGCAATTACAGCAACAGCTGCATTAAGGACGTTTTGCGGGGTTTGCAATGTTGGCATCGGCGTCGCGCATAATCGACCTTCGCCGTGAAAGCAGGCAACAGCCTGGCTGAATGTCGCCGTCGTAGATCACCCTCCTCACCGGTACAAACCTATGGAGGCCACTATGAGTCTGTCTCGCAGTGGCACCATTATCAACCTTGTTTTAGCAAAGGACATTACGACGTTCATCGAATGTCCTGCATTCCCAACCTACTGCAGCAATCACCGAGCAGTTGTGGCAGTTGTTGGTGCCACTACCCACGGCAACGACCAGACCGCTTGCCTAGCGACTGGGTGTCTGCGTTCTTACTACCGCTGCAAAAGGACAGCCTTCATCCTTTCTGTCACGATGTGCGTCAACACAATGCTGCCCCACACTAATATAATATGAAGCGGTATGCACATCACTGTCGTCAGACTATGCTCAAACATTTAACTCGCACTGCAGTAAAACATCTGACCACTCTCGCTGTTGTGGAATCTTTTAGTTCTGATTAGGGTTGTACGTGTATTAATATTTTTGTGCAAGAGCTTCAAATACGGTATTCGATATTCGCGGCTATATTTTGCCCATATTTTGGCAAAATGTAGCAGCGTGTAGCAGGGTTAGCCCCTTGGCGCAGTTTGGCGCAGCAATCACAGGACTGGAGTCACGTTCAGGGCGCAATTTGGCGCAAATGGCGTAGCACTTCCGTCACTCCATACACACCTGCCATGAACCCCAGCTTTGACCACACAAAAGACGGTCGAGCGTAATTTTTCTTTGAGTGCTGCAGCACTTCAAGCTGGGTGAATACCAAAATAAACTAATTGGCTAGTTATTCGGACAACCGTAGATGCAGACAAGTTCTGCCTTGTCCCGATGTGTCCTAATTCATGTCTTTCATCATATACCGTACTATTTCCATCATCCTGATCATCCCAACTATTTGTCCTTAAAAAGTGAACACTCGTACCTGGCTGTAAGAAACCTTCCTATATGGCAGTTCAAACGAAACGAAATCTCAAAATCAATAGGCCTAATTTCATCTGCAAAGCACCTTTTACCGGAATGGCTGAAGTACCAACTGTATTATGCGCTGATATATACCAAGGTTTATTACTGCTTTCTTCTCTGGGGTCAGAAACCAAAGACATATCACACATCTGCATTTATTACAAAAAAAAAAAATCTGCTCGTCTAATGCACAATTGTGCTTATGACACACGCACCGCTCCGCTTTCTGAGAAGTATAAAATTTTGAGCTTTGAACGTCTCTACGTTTATAAACTTCCACCCTACATATTCCATGACCATAGACTTCAACAACCTAGCTATCCATCTGCATGCACTAGACCCGACCACCATGACATTATTTGGACTAATTAACCAAAATATGTTAATTAACGTTTTGATTAGTGGTCTTATGGGCCATTTCGCAAGTGCAGTTTTAAAGGCGGCAATTATAAGAGCTTAATCAGATTAAAGCAATTTGCAAAAAGGCAAGGGGCTACGTGATATTTATCTATCAACTTTTGCATTTTCTTCACCAGATTAAAGAACCGCACGCAGCAACAGTGCAGGATGCGGAGGGCGACGTACCCATTTTGTGCACTTGTCATTACCTCGACGGGGGAATTCGCCAAAAACGCGCTGTCAAGGTGGTGACGAGCCGCCTGAAACGACTACCGTGAAATTTCCAGCAAGCGCCCCCACTTCAGCTAAAGCCCCCCCCCCCCCCCCCCACACACACACACAGACACACACACAACTTCACTGCTAATTTCACATTTCCACGCCGTTCCGGGAAAGCGCCCCCACTCCCCGCTACGCACCCGGATCACGCACCGTGCTAAACGCGCCCAGGCAACACTGGCCTGTGAAATTCAGTCCAAGAATCCAATCCAATCCAACCTTACTTTGCAGCCCTATCGCCACGCGCCACTGTGGCTTTGTTTTGGAGGTGTGAGGTCGGCTATGCATTCTTACAAAACGTACATCAGACGCCTCAACACATCAAGCTCGACCGGCTATGGGAATGGGACCAGAATTTTGAGTTTGCTACAGCCAAACTACGGGAAAGCCAAACTTCGACGAGAGCTAATAATGGTGCGCCGGTGTTCAGTGAATACGTGGACGACGCGCTCTTTGAATACCTGGAGCGCAAGAGAAGTGCAGAATGAGCCATTAGCAACCTACTTCTTTCTGAACAGGCTGTCAGAATAGCCAACGGCATGCAGTTGGGAAACATCGCGGAATGCTGCAGACTTTTTCTTGCGACCGACTCTGAGGAGTCTTTTAGTGGTTTTGAAAGTGAATAACGTAGCCTAATAAAGTCTATGTTCTCAGAGATAGATAAAATATTAAATTCGTGCGCATGCGTTTTTTTTCTTTTTCTGTCGGAAAAATTCTGTCGCCATCTTGAATTTTGGTGCCATTCCGGGATAGCGCCCCCCCCTTTCCAGGTAATTTTGACTTGCGTGGGGAGGGGGGGGGGGGGGCGCTTGCTCGAAATTTTGCAGTATTTAACTGTTTTGTGCACTGATCGGTGCGCAACTTCTTGAGCTGTTACAGCATGTGGTTTTCGAATCTGGTAATGAACTCCGAAATTGCACCATTAGCATCTCAAAGCCCCTCGAGTTTTCACAACTTGTTTCAATTGGGTTAGCCTTTGAAATCACTCCTTTTAAAACTGCAATTGCAACATGGTCTGTTAAACCATTAATTAAAAAATTAACAATTTTTTATTGATTAGCCAAAATATTGTACAATTATCCAGGGTTATCCAATCGCCTAATGCCCGCCAAGTCACAGAAACACAGTGAAGATGCAATCCACGTAGCAGTGAGCGCCATTTTTTGAAAAATATTTGGATTGAAAAATATTTCCCAAATAACAGACAAATATTTAAAAACAAAGGGGACCTACATGTGCCTCTAACTGAGGAGGGAACTTGTCCGTTTCTCCTATTGTACCCAGTCTCAGTGGCACCGAAGGGCTCCTAAAGGAAAGAAGCATACCGATCCTGTCCAGGAGAGCTTCCTGCAGCCTCCTTGTCAGCTGCCACTGGACCAGGAACTCCCCCTGCATTACCACGAGCTCTGCCCACAAGGCCGCATTTTCCTCCTACAGCTGGCTCTGAAGAGGGTTCATTCTTCCCTCAGGCTTTGCTGGCTGTGGCCCTTTCCCCTTGCCACTCTTAGGAACCTTGGGACCATCTCTCTTCTGATTTTTTGGTACCTGTATATTAGGCCACCATAATATGAGCAAGAACTGAAATGAGGGCTTATAAGAATTACAATGTTTGGGAGCTCCTTTTTTGAGCTGCGTAGATCGAATCAATAAATTTTACAAGAATGATTGTGACTTACTTCTTGCAGGACAGGATGGACCCTGACATTTATGAAATGAAAAGCTATTGAATATGCGTAAACACCATCCTTACGACACCTAACATAAAATTGATGCCTGAGCACTCGGCAAAGTTTGAGAGCCGGTCAAAGCAATCCACGTGCCAACGACATAGCGGAGCTTAGAACAATCAACCGGTGGCTGAAAGTGACTCCCTGCCTTCCGCGATATTGCACATTTTCTTGACTACTCGTCAATTGCATGACGACAACAGCGGAAAGGTGCCAGCTTCCAAGGCGGAGGCACTGGACACTGCCATCTTTTTGTTGTTGTGCAGACATATTTGGTAAGGTTGCATGAAAAGTAGCCAAGATAATGTAAAACATGGCTTGGGGGGCGAGGGGGAGGGGGTCATTTTCAGCGGATGAATAAAATTTTGGTTTATAATTCTTACGCCGCTCTACAATCTTGGTGTGTGCGCTCTCCACTTCTAAGATGCCACAAACACGTAAAGGAAATCCATGTCCTAAAACCTCACTTTACATGCACGCTCAGAGACCATGACAACTACCGGCCAGGTGACGTAGTAATACATATGGCAAGACTGAGGCACAACATTATCAAAGGGGCTGAGGAGCTGTCCGAGATTGTCTATTTGTGGTTTTAACTCAATCTATATTAGAGCACGAGAAGCCATCACTCGTGATCGGCTGACAAGCGCCGTTCAACCACGTTCGGCCAGGCTCGGGTGGTGCCATCTGTAGGTCTGAGATGTCACAACCTTTTATCACATTTTTAAAGGGGTACGGAAACAAAAATTGAAATATTCAGATTTCGTTCGGAAATGAGTAAAGCATGACGGATAATAACCGTAAATGATAATCGCACGTTTGTATTTTGAACGACTGGCTATATTTTTCGTTCCAAACGGTGCACTCGAGCAAGCACTCGAAGAGAAGCGAACGGAGAGCTTGATGAGTCATGGGATATCCGGCGCAAACAAAAACAGAAAGAAAAGATTTCCCGCGTTCGTGAGGTAGCAAGGCAGGCTTGGTTATGAGCTTTGCCCTCGGTGGCGTTGTCAGCGTTGTGGTGGTGTCAATAGCGTCAGCGCGTTACAACCGAGCCGTTCGAAGCACCCGTAATGTCACAAGCGTGTGGCTGGACCAAGGAGCACGTAGCTTCCACAACACTGTCAGCTTAGGGCTGAACAGGGTGGGGAAAACAACTTTTGTTCGAGTTTTGAGCGACGGGCTAATCTTCTAGGGAGAAAATGGCGGTGTCCGGTTGCACGAACGAGGGTTCGAGACAGAGGGGAGTCTTTCCTTTCAGTCTTCTTGGACCGTTTGGTACAATACACGATTTGTGAGTTCAGCTAGGAGGAAAGCTAAGAAGGAAAATGTTGAAATTCCAAAGGGCGGCGCTGCTCCGAAGGAATCTGCTACGTCACGACTACGTAGCAAGTTCCCCAACGTTGCTAGATTACCTTCCAAATAGGCTCCGCATGCATCCACGAGGTGCACACTGAAAGATTGTTTATTTAGCTTTAAAATTAGTTTTCTTGTGCCTTTCAACGGAAGACTGGTGTTTTTGAGGTTGGGGTGCAACATGCAACACATTCAAGCTAGAAAATGAGTGCTGGAATTTCATTTCCCTACCCCTTTAATAATGAAGTAATGAAGTTGGCTGCGCACCATTGTATTTTTTTTATGCTTTGAAGCACCTAAATTGAGTTACAGCCATAAATAGACCATCTGACACGGGCGCTTTGAACCGTCATTGAGTCTATGACAGTTAACACGCACAGCGCAAACCGAGG